TTTCTTTTTCACTCAATTTCTTGGCATTTGACTTGAGGCGATACGAAGCGATACAGACTTTGTGTTGTTGATTTAGATGGCTTTATAGTATAAGCGACGACTAAAGGTGGCGGTCGGAGGGTGTGAAAAGAAGAAAAAAGGGAAACCCATTACAATCTATCACGTCGAGTGTCTCGCAGATAATGGCGGACATATACACACACACACTGTGGCTTCTTTTCAAATCGCATAATCATCGGAACGAGGCCGCATTAATCAAAGGAGATTTCACATCATCCCACCTCCATTTCCAACAACACCAACAAAAAAAATATATTCACATGACGTAAAAGTTAAAACAGAAAAAAAAACGTAACAAAGATGAGAAACATTACACCTTTGCTTTCTACGTTATATATACATTTTTTTTTTTTTGTTTCTTTAAGGTGCGGATAAAGTGAGCTATTCTTTAAGTTAATGGACAGATTTTCCGTCCGGAATTTCCAACAAAAACAATTTTACAACTAAACCTTTAACATTTGTTTCCGTTATCTTCGATTAACTCGGAGAATAGCTATTTATGTTACTAATAGAAATACTTGGAATTTGTTTAAAAAAATAAAGAAATTGATGTACAATTAAAATGGCTATAAGATATAGTTAATATAATAGATGATTCACGTATTTTTTGAAGTTCTTATGATTAATTTAAGGTAGATCTAAACTTATAAATAAAAGATAAATGTATAAACAAATGATCGTAAATTTGATTTTTTTTTTAAATATTTTGTTTTTTTTTTTATACGAAACTGTTGAGTCTAACATAACGCAGATAATACAGACCTCTGCTTGACAGCATTTAGTTCCGAAATATACAAAACTGAAAACGCATAACATTTTTTCTCTTTATACTAAACGTTTGATTTAAGAAAAACGCAAACTGAGAATAATGTTGAAATTTATTTATCTTCTCTATTTGTAATATCCATGTCAATCTAACCAATTAAAACATATATTAGTAGTCAAATAAAGCCAAAGAAAATGCCAAGATATAACTTAATAAGGGGAAAACCAAATATTCAATATTATACTACGTACAGGTTACTTTCCAGCGCAGTGGGAAGTGGACTAATTTATAATTATAGCCAAACCTGGAAAACTTGCCGAACAAATCAAGTATTCTACCAATATTATCAAAAGTATTCGAAAATATTATTTCTAACCGATTTCAATCTATAATAACGTCAAACTTATGGCAGACCATCAGTTTACTTTTGCATCTCGACAGAAGACTCAGCCTGAAAGACCACACTCAGAGTAAAACGGAGTAATTGGAAATAAAGTTTAGAAAACGTTACTGGCTATGAGGAAAAAGGTCAGAATTATCAGTGGAATATAAATTACTTATACGTATGGTATATGGTGCAGCCAGCAATCGAACATATAAATTATCCAAGGGTTCCAAACAAAGTGTCTAGAAAATATTATTAGTGCATCGTGGTTCATCATGAATAAACAAATACATGGAGATCTCCATATAGGTATGATCGACGATACAATACCAACGTTTAGTAGCAGATACAAAGATAGACTTTAATCACATACTAATGTTCTGGTTATTGGCATGTTTGATAATAGTGAAACAACAAATAGGCTTAAACGATGCAAACCACTAGATTTAGTATGTAGATTGAATTATTATTGTTCTTAATCATAATAATGGTAAATATACACTGGGAATATGTCTCCATTAATTAAATATTGTTATTGTTAATATTTTAATATAATATATATATATTATTTATTTGATGGTATTATCTGTATGTGCGAAGAATGGGCCCGGCGCATCCACCATAATAGTTGGGTAGAAGGGATTTAACCGATTTACACGATGACCATAAGGAGTTTTTGTAATTTTATTGGGAGCAAATAGAAAACGTTGATGAATGGCCGTGCCACGGATACGGAATTGGGTGAGGGAAGGAAGTGGCGGTTGGGGGGAAAAAAGAGAAGGAGGCGACGGCGGTTCCGGTGAAAGTAAATCGGATAAAGTGGAGAACGTTGATATAACAAATATAGTGCTAGGAAGCGGCAACTCTTCAGGGGTGGAGGGAGGATGCGAAGTGGAGGAGAGATGGAGAGATAGTGAGTATATATATATATGGAGTGTGTGGAGGTGGAGGAGGAGAAGAGTGGTATTGAATTGATGAGAGTAAATCACTGGTCTGTGTGGGGTCCGCCGTCGTTACATTACAAATGACCATCATCTATCTGTGTTCGTCTTCCGCTCGCCTCAACAAATTGTGGCCACGTCCATACACACACACACATACATACACATACACGCAAGAGAACACTCAAACTCTTACGCAATATCGGCGAAATATTGCAAATAGTGCCGAGTTACGGAACTTCCCTTCATTTGCATCTCAGGTTCTTCTCCGGCGTCGTTATTTCCGTAAAACGATACGCTCCATAACTAATTTAGTAAAACGAGACGCCGAATTGTCCTCCAGTTACATCTCCGAAGACGTGACTTCCTCGTATCGGTAGCTCCGTTACCAGACCTCGTGTCAATCAACAAACACACGTAAAACATCTTCCCTTGTTTTCTACCCCTTCCATCACATAAAATCAACCACAAATAAATATACAGCATATAAAATATATTCTAAAACTTTGATTAGCAAAAATATAAACGTTAATTTCATAATTCTTATATTACAACTGACTGTCCGAAAAATCTTGACCATTGTTTCTCATAATTTTCATATTCAACCTTTATTATGTTAAATTATGAACTGATATTTAGAAAAATTATATTCTAAAGCTTTGTTTTGTAAAACTATAAACATCAAGTTCAACTGATGTTTCGATCATTATTTTGAAAATTTAGAAACTGATATTGAGAAAAAAAAGATTCTAAAAATTTATTTTGCAATTTCAACTGATATTTCTCACAATTACATTTTCAATTATGATTTATGAAGTCAATAATGGCAGTATACAAATATGTTTAATAAAAGTTTAAATTGAAACTTATTTTTTATATTAACGCGTATCTCATAAATTCTGATTAGTCGTAATATATTAAATATATTTTTTTTTCATATTTTGAAACGTCAATTTCGAGCAGTAATTTTGACAGTAAACATATGTTTTGCGTTTTGATCGCAAATATGAACTTTGATTTTCGGCTATGTCTACGTGCTATCGTTTATTCTCTGTCCCCGAGGATAAATCCGTCACAATTTGCCGATGATTCATCGACGAGAGGCGGGAAACATACCGTCGATTCGTCAAAACTGTCAATATTTGAAACAATATGCAACATCCTACGCACATTAACCAAAAAGAAACAAAGTAATGTTGAAACTAGATTTCACTCAGATGTGTTTTCTTCATTTAATATTCGATATAAACGATCGATTGACAAAATTATATTTACTCAATAATCTTGGAAAATATTCATACATACATATATTTACATTACTTTAATTTTCATTGAAACTTTAACAATATTTTTCACTCATTGCAGTAACACTGTAGTTCGGTTTGAAAATTTTAAAACAAATTAAATTTTAATTTTACTAAATACAAATAAATTCCAAAGTTGATATAGAAAATTATAAGTCTACGATTAGTGACTTATTTGGTCATAAAATTGATTTGACAACACGAATTATTCATTTGACGTTTAAAATTTGAATGTTTGATGACTTTATTGTCATTTAAATCTGTCGCTTAAAAATTTGCAAAATCAAATGTTAAGATTGTAATTACTAGACACGTTATGATTGAAGTTTAAAATTTATTTGTTTTTATTATATTTTATTTTTGTTTAATTAATTTTATAAAACGAAGTTTGACGTTTCATTATTTGTTAGAAATTTTATTTATATACAAATAATTAAGAATATATTTCTTGTAATTATTATAGAAAAAAGAAGATTTCTACAAAGTTTCGAATTATTTTAATATATATTTTAAATTTGAATTTCACAATGGTAAATATATTTTTTTAATATGAAAAAAAACGTCGATTATGCGATTTTTTTAATATTATTTTAATATTTTGTGTGTATGTATGTTAAAACAACTCGTCTTTTTTTTTAATATATTCGCTTCCATTTCGTTCGTATTACGTTTTACGCCCTTTTTCCCCGGCACTGTTTGCTTATTTGAATGCCTTGCCCCATGTGGAAATGTAAAAAATTCATTTAGTATTTATTCGCAATAAAATATTTACTTGGCCTTCCGCACACGTCCGACGCTAAAGTTCTTTACTATAAATTCTCGGTGCCCGTCCCGATCCTCGTGTACGTACATGCACCTACATACGTACACTTACAAGCAAATACACACGTCCGTATAGCAGAAACTGTGACGGTGTGTGTCAAAAGCGTGATAAAAATTCAAACCGCGAATGGGGATTCTTCGCCCCAAAGACTAAGAGAGAGAGAGAGAGAAAAAAAAACAAGTTTTCCCGATAGGAGTGAGCACAAGAAAATTTACTAGTTTAAAGTGCGGCAGGAACGGAAGAAAGAAAAACATAGAGCGTCGGAAGCGTTTCCTCCTCGAGGGGACTTTGGGAAAAATTTTCCGAAATTTTTCGCGCGAACTTTTGATTAGGCCGCGATAATTAATTCAAGCTATAATTAACACTGCCAGAGTTTTTTAATAAAAAAATAAAACAAACGCACACAGGAAACGTGTAGTATATAGAAACAAGATTTGAAGTTCATTTATTCCAATTAAAAACTTTAACAGGTAGAACTTTTTTTTGTATCAAAAATTTTACATTTTCTCGTTATAAATAATTTATACACATTCTAAATTAAACTCAAAATTATAGAAATTTGTTATAAATAAATAAAAAAATATTAATATAAAATACTCAATTAGAAAATATATATTTTTATCTATATTAAATGAAATTAAAAGAATTATCCGAAATTATTAAGTTTTGTCTCGATTATGCAACTTTATTTACTTATAATAATTTGATTTTTGGTACTTACATGAAGTTTGCAGTAGGACGTGCAGGAACACCGCAAAAGCTGCGCACAGAAGCATGATGACACTTTTCTTTTTGATATAGTTGTTTTTACACTTGTCAACACTTAACACCTTCGACGAAAAGTCCCATAGTCAATCTGAAAAACATAAATAATAATAATCAGAACACAAATTAAGATTTTTATCGATATCTATGAAAAATTAACATTATTACATGTCACTAAATCCATGTAAAATTTCAAAGTGTTAATTATTTTTTATACACATTTACTTTATAAATATTATTACATTTTTTTTAGAAGAAAAACTATTATTTTTCATATATGATATATATACTATTGTACACATTGAATATTATTTTCATCAAACAAATATAATCGTAACAAAATGGGTCAGAATTCTTTTATGACATTTATACGTCATCCAATATAAATTTGTATTTTTCTAAATAAAAATATCAAATTGTTAATAGTATTTTATGGAATAATGTTTTGCGTTCGCTTGAATTCAAATTTTATAGTTAAAGCAAAATAGTTATTTTTTGTATCAATTCTATAATATTGCAAACATTGTTTCTTCTCTTTATATTGGGTTGTCCGGGAAGTTCGTGCCAATTTTTCACGAAACTTAAAAATATAACCTTTCACGCAATATAAACATTACATCCTTTCAGAATGTATTGAGTTTTTCATCAAAAAATCTTCTTTAGATAGACTAACAATTAACCGTTCTTGCATTTAATAGAATTTTGCAAAGACCCATGGTGAATACTATGGATGAACAAATGCAACTATTTTGCTGAGTATTAAAATAAATGTAAGGGCTGAAATTGTCATGATATATGTCCGTTAAATTTTACAAAACTCATATACCTTAACGGTTTATGTGAGCAAGCTTCAAAAACGTTAGAGAATTACGTTCCTAAATTTCATTTAGCAAAAGTAACTTCTCCATAACAGAATATATCTTACTTATTGCTTTAGTGGAATTTTTGTTTTACAGTAATAGAAAAGTATCAAAGTCTAAAATGTTTTCTTCCATCTTCACTAGGGTACTAAATCTATCAGTTTCATTTGATCCAAAACAAACTTTTTGCTAAATACGGTTGAAATCTCATTTTCTAGAATATATACAGAAGTTTAATGTTTTTCACAATTCTGATATATTTAGGAATCGCCATTGGTACTTAGTGAAAATTGGCATGAATTTTCCGAACACTAATTGATAGTAATTTAAATTATAATTTGTTTTTTTACTTCAGTTTTTAAATATAGATAAAATCAATGCACAATTCATAAAAACATGAAAAAAGTATACTTTAATTTTTGTCTGTGTACTTTCTTATACTATGTAATTTTCTAGAAAAAGTACTTTTTATTACGAATAGAAAAATCTGCAAATTACATTGTACTTTTTGCATCGTATAATGGACTTTATACGATTTACGACAACTTTTCTTGTTTTTTTTTTTGTTTGTTTCTGTGCATTTATTCTATAGCTATGCAGCAGTATTATTTAGTTATTAAGGTTAATGGTGTCGAATAAAAAGTGTGCGAGCAACTCAAAGTTGGGTGAAAGGTGTCGTTCCAACACGACGACCTAATAAACATTAAAAGTACCGATTTGGGGATAATTAAATGTTTTTTTGTTTACTTGTTTAATTTCTTGTTGTTGTTCGTTTTCGGTGGTCTTGCATAAACTTTTAACGAACGCAATTTGTTGTGTGTATTCGCGAACGATCCGTGTAATTGCATAAGAATGTAAATTGGACTGCGCTTGTTGTTGTTCGTAATGAGTGGGTAAGAGTGGATGAGAAGAGAACGCGCGTTTTGTGATTGATTGTAGGAAATTGGATATGATCGTGGTCTAATTACGGCGGGCTAATAAATCAATATTCCGTTTACGGTGGATGCGCCGAGTCCCAAACCTCCCTTTTGCACCCGTTCACCGATCTCCTACACATTCCATCCCCCCAATAAATCTCTCTACCCACAAACCCGGTCCTCTCGTCCCCCGCCCTCAATATTAATATTATCAAATCCGAGCTTATTAACTGATCGCGATCTCTCATAGCTCGCACGCAATCCACTTGTCTAAATCACCGTGTTTTCGTCTGTCTGCCGCTTAAATTTACGTCTTCAATTCGATTTTTTTCAGACCAATTTATGCACTAACCAGTCTTTATCACTCGATAAAAATACAAAATAATAAAGATTCTATAATATTAAAATGCAAATCAATAGATAATATTCTTAATTTAGTAATATTTTGTTTACATATTTGCTTAAATTAATATTTAAAAAATATAATTTCTATGAATCTAAATTTAACATGTAAGTATCACGGATGGATCAGAGTTTGTCCGATTTTAAAACAAAATTTGAAAACTTTTTTTTTATTATAAATGTTTATTTAAAAGAATTTATCAAAAAAAAAAAAAATTATTCAGTCAAATCTTAATATATTCATTTAGAATCTTCTAACGTTAAAGTCAGAAGATTTCAATTAGTATAAGGAAATTGAATTTATTGGAAGAATCATAAATCTTTAAAAAAATCTAATGCGAAAAATTTGTGAGAAATGATACTTCTACAAAAAATTCATTTAAAAAGTTTTGTCAAGATAAATTGATAATTTCAGTTCGATTCAGAACACGAAGCAACACAGACGTGATTATTGCAGACTAGTGATAAGTTGTTTATTTGTTTTTTGGCTTCGTTTGACGATTCGAGTGTGCGCTGTTTAATTGCAGTAGATACTTATGACCAGGGAGCGGGAACCAGAGGGAATTGATTCATCATCTTGCCTTTCGGAAGCCACGGGTTCCGGATTGGAGTAGGGAAAGCGGAAGCGAGGAAGACCTACGAAAGTATCCGTAACAAAATCGACTTCAACGTAAACCCAAGATGGCAGTTTTCAAAACGCCACAACCTGCTATTTCGGGCGATAAAAAGTATTTTGAGAATAAAAAATCTTTGAATGTTTTCAAGATAAACGTGCACGAGACGACAACGAGTTCGCAACTATTTAAACTGTGGTCAAGGGGGGCCGGCAACCGAAAAGATGTTATTCTGGAAACGAAGATAGGCTTCATATTGAAGTCAGACAACCCTAAGGCTGAGGACTGAGGACTATGCTGCATGGTTTTCCAAATGTCCGATGAGGCCAACAAAACCCATACCGGGTATACCTAACATCAAAATACGGACACTTAATAAAAAGACGAGTGAGGTACCTATTCAGGACAATAGAATACACAGATCGATAACAATACATGATCATATAGTTAACACTTACATTAAAAAATTAAATTGGTCAAAGAAAATCGCGCAGAGTTCAACTTTAACGTTGAAACTCATGTTTGTTTTTTGGAACATCTAATGTTCTAATATTCGATGTGGATGACCCCGAGCGGGATTTTCCTACAAATTAGAGGACTGCCGGTTCTTTCATTATGAAAGGGAGATAGCCTTTTGGTCGCATTGTGACTAATAAATATTATTATTATTTCACATAATTTAATATTTTTTGAGTGGAAAACTGATTATAAATTTGAAAAAATATATTTAATTCAGATTTTTCAACTTCATATCATCATATTTGTAAATGAATATTTTAAATCTTATAATTTTTTAAAATTAAAAAAAAAAACGAAATGTTTTCTCTTAAAAATATTTTTTTTAATAGTTACAAAAACAAAATTAATGAAAAAGCTTCAAATTTGAATAAAGCATATCTTAAAATTTTCTTATAACATAAATAAAAATGAATTTATTATATTTAACTATATTGTATATAAAAATTGAAAAAGTGTTAATGAAAAGGAAATTAAAATTAAGCTTTAAATAAATAAGTCGTTTATTTTGAAAGTATATAAGATAATTAAATTTAGAATTGGTAATAAGTCCATAGCGCTACATATAGCAATATATATTGCTGTAGAAGCTGACGCTGAAATAACCAAAGAACTAAATTTAAATCTAGAGGATTTTGATTAATAATAATTCAGCGGAAATGAGCAATAATGTATGGATGGAACTTGAGGACGGGCGAAATCAGATCTTGTAGAAGAGCAATTAATTGAACAACCCAAGCAATTTGGAACTGCAAATATTGGCATTTAAATATGATCCGAGATGGATCTCGAAGCTCAATACCCTAATCTTAAATGATCATATTGCATGCTACACTTTAATTTATGAAGCAAAGAAAAGGGCTGAAAGACAATTAACACTAGGAGAAAATGCAAGATTAGTGATGTAAGGTTGGCAAAAGTTCCACGACCAACACAGGTTTGTCCTTCTTTACGAATTTCGACGTCAACTCAAGCCTATGCATCATCCCTTGTGACTATTTCCAAGTGGTTTCAAAGATTTCAGACCGGACATTTTTCTGTGGAGGACAAACATAGTGAAGGCTGTCCAAAATCTTTGACCGATGATACAAATATTGACGAAGAAATGGTTTGAATACCATGGCTTTGTCGCAAATATTAAATTATCACTTTGGCTGCACGAAGAAATCCGCTCGAAGGGTTCCACGATTTTTAAATGACGACCAAATAAAGGCACGTGTTCGTTTTGCCGAATATTTCTTGTAAAATCTTGAAAATGGAGATTCTAGCACTTTTAGTAAAATCATAATAGGTGATAAATCTTGATTTTATAAGCAGCAGTTCATCCATACCGAACAAGGTGCAAAAATCAGCAACAAAAGTAGAGGGTAACTGCTAGTACGCAGTAACTTGTTTAACACAAGTTTTCAAAAATTTGTTGGGAAACCAGAAAAAATGAGGAACTTCGTCGCTACTTTTTACATCACGATCATACGCCCACTCGTCCTACTGAAATAACCAACCACTTTCTTGCGTTCTCTGGCATCAATGAAATTCGCCCAGCACTGATTCTACCGATCTAGCGCCTTGTGATTTCTGGCTTTTTCCAAAAATATGAATTAAAAAGTCTTTAGTTCCAATGAAGAGATCATTAATTAAATGTTGAAAAGCTTCAAAAAGTCGATTTTGAGGAATGTTTTGAAAGGTGGCTCTACTGACTTAAGAAATGTATTGAAATAAATGGAAATGACTCTATATTTAATGAAATTATGTTTAAATTAACTAAATTAACTAAAAAAAATA